GAAACGTCATCAGTTGATATAACTGTACTACACTGTGTGATTTATCAAAATAAAATCTTATCCATTATGGAACTTGTAAAGCTTATTATATAGTTTTCACAAGAGATCACCAAAAACTCCAGACATATTTTGTTGAATTGCAAAGTGACAGAAAAATTTATCTTTAGCATTAAATTATTATTATAAGATTCCTATTTCAAAAGAAAAGTAGATAAACATGAAAATTAGTCACATGTGTCCAAGAAGACAATTGAAAATGCTCTAGTGAATATCAGTATGTGAGATGTATTTCTGAGAACGACACCCATTGTGGAAGGAATTAATTCAGTAATAACATACTAAGTTACGGCTTTAGCTATCATCTTATAACCATATTTTACACTTGTCTCATTTCAAAACATGACTAAGGATAAAATAAAGAACTTACTGACTAAATTTATGATTTCGACGTTGATCCGTGTTCACAAAGTTCAGGTTTACTAAGATTTTGATTAGTTTCATTGTAGAGAATCACTGAGAAATATGGAGGTACTGAGCAGAAAACTCTAGAATCAGGACTAAGTAACTGTCTGATGCTCTATGGTATTTGATTGCTCTGTTACTGATCTGGCTTTGTAATGATACGTACAATGAAATTTTAAGTTTGCTGTTTTGATTTAGGAAGATAATAAAATGTCTCCGAAGCACGAAAATAAGCCTTGAGGAAGGCGTATAATTACCGTAATGCAACCTGTAGTCTGATGACAAATTTTTTAAATTGAGCAGTAGTATCATATCGATCAACAGATTTCTATTAAATCATAGAGACAGACAAATGCGTTTATTACCAACTGCCTGCTAGCTGACGTGAACATTTAACATGTTTCATTATGAGCTGGAAACCACGAAGTATTGGACAGCTGTTCCATCCGATTTTGGGACTCTCTACACTCTCACCCACAGAGGGTTCTAGAACCCAGGAGCTTCCGGTTACAAGGTGAACCCGTAGACCATTCAGCCAATCGGACGCGATCCAGTAGGCCATGAATTCCAACCTCTGCCATTTCTCTGTAATTAGTACAACCACAGGTCAATTTCATTGGCGAATAACTGTTTTATTGTCTGGTTAAGACTTCTCACTAGAACTCCAGGTAACTTCCTATAAAGAGCCAGTCACCAGTGAGCATAAGATTAAATATCAAGTGTTAGTTTGCGGGGATTCGATTGGGTACAGACCTGAGCACGAAGTGATATCAGTTACAGAACCACTGGAAAACCTGGGAGTACTGGAAAACTGTTTCTTTCTAGCCTGGGACTCTTCATCAGCACACACTCACTGAGATTTTCCAGTGGTTCTCTAACTGATTTTACCTTGTGACCAAACCTTCAACCAGTTAAACTCCTGCAAAACAACACTTGATCACATCAGTTTTAGGAGTTTTTAACAGTACACATCCTTTACCATAGAATTTCTATATATTAGAATCAGTCATCTGATGGTTAAAAGGGTTAGAAAGTTTTTCCAGTCAGGCAGTAGGAGATTGACTTGACTTAACAGTTAGTACCTACTTTACCAGTGATGGTGCGGCTGAAAAGTTTTCAGTTTAAGTCACTGCAAGTATCGCAACTGTGAACCACCAGTATGCATTTCCAAGTGTCGTTAGATATTATATATTCCTCTGTGGCATTCAGAAATCCAGAAAAATTATTCTTTTCAAGGTCTCTTGTCATCTGAAATATCAGATGAAGTGCTCAAGTAGTTGATCATATTAACCATTTACGAAATGAAAAGGATAGAACCAATTTACTGTTACTTATGTGGCTATCGCTGCCTTTTTTTTATTAGATTGGTATATAAGTACTGTGTTTTGCAAAAGAATCAACTCGTTTAATTTCCCTTAACACTGAAGTCAGTTTTGTTCAAAAAGAAAAACTTATTACTGTTATTTTTGAACTTTACAGAAAACTGTTCTAATCAAGACACACCTTGTAAACCAGGAGAATTCAGAAATAAACATTGTATCTGTCAAAATGCATCACGTGAGTACAAACTGTTTTTTTCAACTATTTATATCCACTGAAAACAGCAATACAGGAACATTAAGTGGTAATTTATTGAAAACTTGTTCGATTTTCAATTGAACTTGACCACGAAATGATAACAGCCAAAAGAGCGGGGGTAAAAGTTATTGTGCGCTTTTGTTTCAAAATGGTGGTGGTTAATTACGATTTGAATTTCTTCAGATAGTCGGTTTTGTGTAATTTTGTATTAAATGCTCAGATGAATGTTGTAATCATATCAGATGTTACGTTGACTTGTTTTAAAGGTGTTCTATCAACTTTTCTACACAGCTAGGATACATGTTGTATGTAACATTTGCTATGTTATGCGCGAAAACACCATGCAATCGCTTTAATCTCCATCCTACCTAGTATGCCACTGTAAATCAAATAGTTCTGATTATTATATTATTATTGTTCCCTTGGGTTCCTAGTGGAACATAGGGCTTCAACTGCACGTCTCCACTTGCTTCTGTCTTCTGCTGCACTTTTCACTTGCATCCATGTTAGTCCATACTGTTTCAACTCCTCTTCACACGATCTCCTCCATGTCACCCTTTGACGTCCCACTCGCTGCTCTCCTTTCGGGTTCCACTCGAGCTATGGCGTGACGCGCGATGTCACCCAGCGGCCTCCTCAGCGAGTGTCCAATCCATCTCCACTTTCTCCTGCATATCCTAATTCTGTATAAACTAAAATGAACCATCCTCTTCGGTTTCCAGAAGTTTTAAGACTAATGTGAACTAATAGTGAAATATGAATTAAAACAATTTGAAGCTGTAGAGTGAATTAATGCTAAGGAGCATTGCTGCGTCTGTGATAATACTGGATTTGGATTCATGTTTACTGTTACTTCAACATACAACAGTATATGACTTGTCACTTGAATACTATTCCTACAACGAGAAAAATACAGATGACTGACTGAGAAGGCAATGTAAGTAGAAAATACAAATAATTTGTATAATTATTTCACATGAACAATCAATTACTACCTGAGGAGATAAAAATTATTCCGCGACTGGATAGCCTACACCGATAAAAACTCAACGACTCGACCTATAATCTACATTAGAGTCAAATGTCTAATTTACAGATGACTTGGGAAACACTGACTCACTCATCTTGTCCAAACAAACACTATTATCATTCGATTAGTAGTGAAGAAACAGACACAACTAATGGCTGTCTTGTTTGTTTAGAGCACTATTCATCGATACTATGAGTAAAAAAACCTGCTTAAACTACAGTCGAAGGTATGCTTCCTTTAATTTATGATAAAAAGTTCAAGAAGACACAGCTAGTGTATCAGTGGGTTATCTTTATGTAACACAGACAAGAATGCAAGTCATCGGTGTTTTATATGGAGACAGTTTTTCTGTAACAAGCTTAGAAGTAATTGGTCTGGAGAAATACGTGTTAAGGAGAGATAAGTGAACAAAGAGATCTCTTTATGTAACTTCTCTTAAAAGCTGTCAATCGATAAGAAAAGGTCAGAGATTATCCTGAGTCAATAACTAAATAAATCAAAGTTTATGGGAAATAACAATATATGAAAAATAGTGTACAACATTACATAATCGATAGGGTTGACAATTAATTAATTAAGTAATATTTAGAACAACACATTTAAGCGAAGAATACTGTTTTCAGTGAGATCTCTCAAAACTTGAAAACGGGAAATTGAAAGACATCATCAAGGAGTTTGATATGTATTACCGATATGTTGATGATACATTTATCTTAGCTGATAGGAATGCTGAAATTCAACAACATCCACCCTTCGCTTACTTTTACTTGTGAAGACGAGCAGGATAGTAAACTACATTCCCTGGATATCTTTCTAAGTAGGCGGGAAGATGGGTCACTTGGGAGAAGCGTGTATAGAAAAATCACATTCAAGGGCAATATACACACTTCCTTAATTACGTGCCCATTAAATATAAAAGAAATGTTGTTAAATGTCTTACGAGTAGAGCAAGAAAGATAAGTACGGATGATCTCTTACGAAAGGAATTTGAATATACTCACGATTCCTTGACGGAGATGGGCTATCCTAGTAGTTACATAAAGAAACATATGGAAACATCAGAGAGAAAACCTGAGACTATGACCGCAGGTAAAAAAAACCTCTATTTATTAAGTTACAATTTAATGGTGACTTATCAAGTGAGATTTTATTCCATAGACTTTCTAGGAGTAAAGGACGAACGTTTTACGCAGCATACCTATGTTTGTCATTCTCTAGCCGACGAATGATTGGGATGCAAACGAAGGATAAGCAGGTAGTTTTGCCACATCTATGTGCATTTATCAATTCAAAACAATCTGTAGCTGAAATTTGTCACATTTTGTTGATAGTGATCATGTAGCGGGGAAAACGAGTGCTTTAAAAATAATTAATCGTATCTCACCGAATCTTTCCAATAGACTTCGTATTCGTTCACTGCACACAGCCGAAGCGATAGGCATTCGAACTATTAAGCATAGACTATGCATTACACAGAAGTTCGTACGGTCATTATCCCTCCCTTGGCCTATTAAGACATGATGACTTCTCCAGCATCCCTTACTTATATTTTCAAGCCTTCTCCCATAATCCCTTAATCTTATCACATCTTCATTAAAAACTTGTTTCATCTAATTCAGTAGCAACCAAGCATTACTTAATCGGTTCATTTGTTTTTCTTAGCCTTTATCGACTACTACTTCTACCTGAACATTTGTTTGTTTAATCATGCTGTTTTTCGTTATTCGCGTTATCACAGATCGCCTCACTTTTTCATTCTTATCATTGATAAAGCCATTATTATTATCACTACTGTTGTGACTAATTGCACACCTTATATTCACCATCTTATAAAACAAAACACCATGATTGGTTTATATTTGAATTTTTATTTGTAAAGTTATGTATATTTGAGTTAAGCCTGATGAGATCTAATTGAAAACACAATATTGTTCGCTTAAATGTGTTGTTCTAATTAAGTAACGAATAATCACTTAGAGATAATTGATAAAAAACACATGAGCAAAGGATGGATAATGGGTTACAAAAATAATAAAGTAGATAGAGTTAATTATACAACATTTCAGTAAAATAACATTGACACTAAAGCCATGGTAGTAGAACAGATTGGATAAAACATTTCTGAACACAGAGTTTCTTATGGACTTCTAGAGCTTCCACTGCATGCAGAAGATATAATCGGAATCCTTTCGGATGGATTTATCTCACTCTGTTTCTGACACGAAATGAAATCTCTGCTTTTACTGAATAATTGAAAATGATTGTGTGTCCCAGAAATGAGCTATAAAAGCTGTTCTGTGTTCTCTTTATGACAACCATGCTGGTAATTGTTCATTGACATGTCTACACAATGTCCTGCTAGTGAATTCTATGTACTTAACTCCACGGGAGAAATTGAACTGGTAAATGCACAATGAAGTTGCCAACATTAGGATCTTATCTTTAACATTCTAGTGAATAAGAGCATATGTGGAAAAGATGAGTCGTAGAGATGTTGCAAAGAATGTTCTTTGAATAGCTCTTGATAGATGGCTTTAGAGGACTTCATTAATTATCTCCTTTGAATTTCAGATTTCTAAATGTTTATCAAAAAATCACTATGGTGACAAAATAGGTATCGTTATAATTTTATTCATATATGATCTTTCCAAATATAACTATTATTAACTACATATCTGTCGATTTCTCTTACAGAATACGCTTATGAAAGATGTCATGATGATGTTAATCAGACTGCATATTGTAGTAAAGCAATCAGTGAAAATAAATGTTACGATGAAGCACGATATGCTATACCTTACTGCAGACGTACATGTGGAAGATGTTTTCGAGCAGGGTCAATGGGAATATCAACACCTCCAAAAAAGGGTAAGTATGCTTAAGAAGTTAATTGGCTATTTGTTTTATCATTAACTCTCCAAGTGTTTGTTTTATTAAAGTTCTTCTCGGCCTCTTTTGCTATCTGTCAGAATTAAATTTCATATATCGAGATTGATAGAAGACTAGCTTTGACAAATGATAACAAGAATAACGCCTACTTTGAACGGCATTATTTGCTGATCAACTGCACTCAACATTTAATCACATGTTATTGTGCCTGACACAAAGAAACAGTGTTGTGTTACTTAGTGTGGTAGTCATAACTCAACGACCAATCACAGAAGACTTTGCGTGGGCGGATACGGTTAGCAGATATATCAACGAACTGTTTAAGAAACGGTAACAAAGAGATGACAGGATAACCTTCAGCAGGAAAACAACCAGTCAGAAGACGTTCCTTCTCTGCTAACAATAACGCTGATAATAATGTACATAGAAACCTACAACTATCTCTTGATTTTCTCAATAAACGATCTGTTGTCTGGCCCTTATCTTCTGTCGTTACACATCTAGTTCTGTTCGCCTATAATGAGCAGTTAATTATTTCCGTAAAACAAGTTTCGTCCTAATCCTTATTCACTAGAGAGATAAACAATGGTTATGTTTAAGTGAATCTAAACTGAACGGTTGCAGTGAACAACATTTATGAATAAAACTTTTTTAGACTTAAAAAATATCACATTATAAAGTGAGCGGCATCATCATAGAATTAACAGATTAGATAGAATTAAAACAATCCGTATGATAAATTTGAATAGGGCATTTAGATGAAAAATTTCGCGAGATGATATCATCGAGTAGTTTCTTTACAACCATTTTACAACTAATGTAGTTTATAATAATAATAAAATAAAATGCAGGGCAATTACTCAGTTATATAAAACAGAAGTACATACTAATGAACAATTATATTTCACTAGGTCAAGTAGTCCATGGTAGGCGAAGGTTGAAGTCTATTGTTTTGACTGTACAAATAGTTTTGGATGTATATGAACAATTATATTTCACTAGGTCAAGTAGTCCATGGTAGGCGAAGGTTGAAGTCTATTGTTTTGACTGTACAAATAGTTTTGGATGTATATGATTAATCCCCAAACTGCTTCCATCATCTGTATTAACCAACCTTGAATTAGAGTTATGTGATGAGATCATTGTGAAACAGTCATTAATATTGATTTTGTGACCTGACAATAATAAGTGCTTTGCAATGGATGATACACTCATTACTTATTAATATAAGGTCACAAAATCAATATTAATGACTGTTTCACAATTATTTCGCATAACGCTAATTCAAGGTTGGTTAATGAAGGTGATGTAAGCACTATGGATTAATCACAAACATGCTAAACTATGTGTACAGACAAACAATTGACTTCAACCTTCGCCTACCATGGACTACTTGACCGTTTTAAATAAGATGGGAAAGAAAACGAGTGGGGACTAAGCAATTTCACCAAAAATAGTTATTCAACTGAATAAAATACTGTGTTTACTTTAAAACCATTTTATACGCAATTTTTCCTCTAAGATCATGCTTTTGACGTCATCATTCAGTTTTTCAGATACAATGACGTCAAAAAATCTTTTTTTCGATTAGTTTGGTTATTTTTTTAGCGTGATCATCTTCCATAGTTTGGTTGAAGATGACTTGAAAAGCCATACCTGAAATAGGCTTAGCATTTTTGTATTTTTTTTTACTGTCATCGCATAACTTAGGAATCATTACTGTCTTAGGCTGCTATCACAGAAAACGCATAACTAAGGCATGTCTAAGGTATATGACACTGGCGTAAGTCAGCGCCAAAAAGTCAGTTATTCGTTCTTATCTACAATTAATTCTTGATATGAGAACAACTAAAACTGTTAATCAATAATAATGATAATCATTTGTTGGATAAAAGTACAGCTATTCAACTTTCGCTCCCGCCTAATTTAATCTTTTGATTTGTGCGCTAAATTCTCTTGTTTTTTTTTAAATTCCTGTCAAATAACAATACTACAGTATCCATGTAACAAAAGAAGTGTCGAATATGATGACGTGCAAATAGATGTGGTCATATATAGATATACAGATATTCCCAGACATATGGATTTCAGAATGTACGAACCACTATTGTGTTTCGTAATGTCGGTAGAGCATGATAAATCATATATGGGTCGATTCCTTCTTTTTACTACAACAGTTATGCAATTTTCATTACATAAAATGAATGTGTGGAGTGGCTTTCCGCTGTTAATTTCATTATTGATTTATTACTGTCAAGTGTATTCCTCTGAACTTTGAAATGACTGGAGTTTTAGACTTTCTCTAAGAATTAGTACCGATTTGAACTGATTAGTAAGCTAAGCTGTTATATCGTTGGTTAATTTCATTTCTCCTTTTGGCTCTTACATATTAAAACAGACTATGCTCTATCATTAATCTTACATCAGTCTGGAAATCTGCTGCAATCTGAGGCGGCCTGCTTAAAATTTGGGCTACAGAAAACTTCCATGTCTCTATTGCATATATTTTCTCTCGTTCGGTTTGTTTTAATCTATTAAGCTTTGACCTCTAATGCTATTATCTACTCTTGTGTGTATTTAAAATGTTTACAGACATCTGATTTGCAAGTTCCTACTAAACTGAAGGAAAGGCCTGATTGTGGGTGGCAACGTGTTCCAATAAACGAGATAACTTGGTGACTCTAAACTATAGCAGCCCAAAACGAAACTACCTCCAGCGACCAATCAGATGTGTCTGAGGTAGAAGTGCGTAATTTGAAATAAACGTCTAATGAAACGTTAAAAAGTGGTTACATAAGATAGTATTCTTGTATATGTTACAAGAAAACCTCCTAATTTATCACAGTAGTCTCAAAAGTCACGTTAAACCAAATTCTGTGCATAAATTCGTCAGGGTCATCAATCCGTTCATTAGGTAGTTTCGTTTTGGGCAGCTATAGCTTAGAGTCATCGATAACTGTTCTTCATTTATGTCCTTGGGTCTCGAAATTTAGTTCTTACAATTGGCTTTCAACTAGATATCGTGGATTTCTTGAAGAAGCAAGGCAGATATATCATAATGGAATGGTTTGTGCCTCAGCTCAGAGACCATTGTGCTACAGGATACACTGTGAATTATTATTTTACCTGAAAAAACTGTACGAAGGGAAAAATTCTGTACATTTTATAAATACTGTCCAGAATAAAGATGTTATTATTAATAAGGATAAAGAACAAGATTCACATTTTCAACATTAATGTCAATCGGTGCTTCCATGTGGGTCAGAGACTTGGTGCGTCATCAGAAGAATTTTAAACAGCCTGCTGCAGACATTCATCAACAGCTGCCTCCACTGACTCCATACTGAAGATCAGATGACCAGCCAGAAAAGACTAGCAACAAGAAACTCTGGCAACAAACCAACCAGGAACCTATTGCCCGGCAAATATGCCGAAGAAAATGGAAATGGATCGAACACACGCTGAGGAGACTGGTGAGTGATACTGAGCACTAGGCCCTAGAGTAGAATGTGAATAGACAAGCGTCAAGGGTGACATGGAGGAGATTGTCTGAGGAGCAGATGGGAGCTTATGGGCAATCATGCAGCTGGCCAAAATGGACTACAGTGAATAGGATAAAATGATGTGCTGTGGAAACCGCATGTTGTAGTCGGTACCCAAAGGAATGATAATAGGCTCTTAACCTGAAGATAAAAGACAGAACGGAACAGAATGTATTTTAAATCTATAAACTCATTGAAATATTATATTTCTAATAGATTACACTTTACTGTTGGATATTACATTTGAGAGATTCACCGAAATTTTATGCTTCTCTTTAATTCACTCGCATTCATCATTCAGCCTGCATTCTATGTTCTTTAATCGTTTACGATTAGTAGAACTCCCTGAATTTCGACAAATGGATTAATCATCATTATTTCTTTCAAATGTGTTAATTTTCCTGCTATTTCTGTATATTTTCAAAGTGCCTATAATTTAATTTTACGTAACTCCTTTTATTTTAGTATGTCGAGATGTAGAAAGTGAATTGTGCGAAAATTATGTCAAAGAAGGCTATTGTCATTTTGATGGTTGGACCAAGCTGAATTGTCAGCGATCCTGTAATCTATGTCCATCTCCAGATGTAGTTAACAGACAAGTTGAAACAGGTGATGTCAGAGCTTATTTGGAAGCATATCGTAAAGGTGATTGTTTCAATCGATATGATGATCTTAGATGTGAAATATTTTCTCAACGTGGTGATTGTCGTACAAATCCAGGATTTATGTCCAGCCAATGTACACATTCATGTGGCTTATGTCCAAAGAACGAAAATCGCTCCCAAAGTGGTAATAAGAAAAATAGCTCTGAAACAACTCGTCAGCCAATACCCTGCAAAAACTATATTGATGATCAACGATGCGATGCTCTTGCTAAAGAAGTAATTTTTCCATTTTTCCTTCTTGGTTTTCTTATTGTATGTCTTGTATTTGAATTTCATTTGATTTTACGATCAAAGTATGCTCGTAAAAATATAAAAGCACTAATTTTTCAATGTCGAGTGCTCATAATTAGGCAAAGACTTCAGGGCAGTTAAGTTACCACTCACTCACTGTGTACAATTGAAATTCTCATGATTTCAAATTTCTGTCTACTGGCCATATGAGTCCAGTGGTATATAATGCCAGGGATGAGCACCTGACTTCATAACCAACTTGACAATTACATCTTCACATCAATTTGCTGAAATATATATATATATATATCAGTCCTGATCACTGTTCAACAGTCAATATATACTTCGATATTAAGATTAGAGGTATTTGATCTGATCTAAGGACGAATTTACTACACATAGAATCAGCCAAAAAACCTTTAGAAAACCATAAGCACTGGATAATTGCTCTGCCCTAATTTGGTTTCCTGATCGATGACATTTCATGGTGGAATAGACCCTGATGAAGTCAATCGGTTATCTACACACCTAACATACTAATCCTCCTTAGTATTAATTTCAAAGTATTTGTGAAGATAAACAAGAAAACGATCCTAATTAAGCAGAGCAGTTTAAACACCGGGATTCAGCAGTCACTTTGAAAGGTAGAATTTGTTTTTCGAAGTTGTTTCACTTATTCAAAAGTATCATCACTGGAGATTTTTAGAGGAACATAGAGTTTTTGAAAGCACTATTCTTGTTACGTATGACGATGTTAAGGAATACTTGATGAAAAGAACTGAATTGCATACTGTTTCTCAGTGTTCCTATTGTAGTATAGGTTCGGTGGATAAAGTTCTTTTTCAGATGTCGGAATTATGGGGATTGATTGATATCGAGATAGATTCTGCCACTGATAAACATCACTCGTGATGGCAGATAATTGCGGATGATACTGGTCTGCAGTGGCTAAAAAGAGCAAATTCACTGTATTTAGGCTTCTGAGATAATGCATTCCGACCCCACGAATGAATGGTAATGTTTTTGACTTTTAAGCTGAAAGTCTTGCGTTTGATCCTTATGTGGTCTTTGGTACCTAGTGCTGAAGATCCTCAGAGTGTTGTGAAACAGCTTTCCAGTGCCCGGGGTATTTCATTTGTTCTCTGACTGGTATCAGTTTGTGACGAAATCTTCTTTGAAATAATGTTCTTCTTTTATTGTGCATTATCAAAGATGTTGTCAGGCCGAAACACTGCATCAAAACATGAAGTCTTTGATTGGTTGGAGGATCTCATCATGAGCTGACATCAGTTAGAGAACCATTGGAAGACCTGCAGTGAGTACTGGATAGCCATTTCGTCCTAGTTTTGGGACCTTTCAACAGTACGCACCCGCCACCACAGTTCGAACCCAGGACCTTCCAGTTACAAGGCGAGCTTGTTTACCATTAAGCCACTGGGACCCGATCCAATAGCCAGCCCATGAATTCTAACTTCTGCCAATTCATGATATAGTGTGACCTATTCACAATGTCTACTTCAATGAGTTACTGCCTCACCTTCAACTTGCTGCACCCTACTGGTCACGGCTTCCCACTAGAACCCCAGGTCACTGTCTGAATAGGGCCAGTCGCTGATGAGCTTCAGACCGATTTTCAAGTAGAGGTTTTGGATGATTGGCTGACGAAACAGCTGTCCAGTATTCCCAGATTTTCCAATGGTTCTCTAGCCGATGTCAGCTCACGATGAAATCCTCAAACCAATCAAACTAAGTCCCTACAAAAACCAATACTTGAAAAAACACGAAGTCTTTAACTGGTGGTTTTTAAGACACGTAAGGAAATGTAAACCGTCTGGTTAGGTCTTGGAGACATGAATATTCACTGGCTGGAAACTGTTAGTGACATGAGTCAAAATCATTCTCAATACCTCAGAAGTATTCACTCTTTAAAATCTCCCAAATACATCAAACTCTCATGTTTCTCCAAGTTACTATTCTTCCTCCCTCACATTTCTTTTGAATCTCTCTTTTTCCCTCTTTTATTTACCTTGATGTGCTACACGGAGTATGGCAGCTTGAACTGCTGCACTTCTGTGCAGATTTCTACGTTGAAAATTCATTCCATTTCAGTGTAGTGCCATTTCCATAATAACCGGAAGTAAAATATATTTCAATAAATTATTTACCTTCTATTTTTAGGGGAAGTGTCATGGTACTACACTGAAACAATGTCTTGGTTCATGTAATAAATGCGGAGATAACTATCCAAGACAAACTACAGAAAATCCTCCTGATCTTGTGACAGACAACGTGAACCATACCAAGGATTCATCACCTACAGAATGTAAAGATAAATCGAATTTATGTTCATTTTACAAAGATAGAAATGAATGTAAAACACACAAAGTTATTAGATTAGAAATTTGTCCTGAAACTTGTGGATCTTGTGAATCCAAATGTGAAGATTTTGATTTACCAAATATCTGCAAAGATCTTGTTCAACGTGGCTATTGTAAACGCTCGAAAGCATACGCTGAAAGATGTAGGAAAAGTTGTGGACTATGTGGAGATGAAATTATTATTCCAGTGGGGGCTTCAACGCCATCAAGTACGCTAGAAACGAAAATGACACCTTTTGCTACTGAGGTCACTAGTCCATCGGTACAGTTGACAGTTGATACAACTATTCCTACTACAACTATGGCGGTTACAACAAAAACAGCTATCCCCGTTACTGAAAATTCTACTACTCCTGGAGAAGCTGTTTCAACCAATTTCAATATGGCATCTAGTTCTCCTAAAAAGCCAACACTACTTCGAAAACACCCATCGTCATTGCCAAAATATGTAAATAAGAGAACATTTACACCTTCAGAATGTAAGACATATTTTATTTGATCTGATTTCCGTGTTAATATTTAATGTTACCATTTATAACTACTAGTATTAAACGATTTAGTCATAGATCTATGACTCTAGAGTGAACTCCCCAGATTTTTGATAAGGTTATTGAAAGATCGCTTCATATTCTGAGTAATATTTTTAGTCACATTATATGATATAACAAGTAATACAGTGATAGATCAACTTCATGGATTCATATCACCAGTTTACCCAAGTAGCTAGCCAGAATTCAGGCAGTTTGAACTGATCAGGCTCTCTGACCTGAGTCTAACCTGGCACACCGCTGATGGGATTGGTAGCAGAAAGGCGAAACGGCCGTCCGGCGTTTAGATAACTTCGATATGGCTAGCAGGCAATATTAGTTGGTGCTAGTGGGATCCAATTACTCATATAAATCGATCAGTAATATATAAGCTTTATGATGGCTTCACTCACGTAAAACCGTCATGCAAAGAACAGTTAGAAGCCGGAAAATAATTACACAACTGTTTTATTTTACTTCAAACTCCTTAGTAATAGTTTAGAGACAAGATCATGTCAGACATGAAGATCAGTAGTTTCAAGTTTATTTTAAAAACGTTATACTTCTGTCAGTGACTTAGAATCCAGAAGTCGCCATCAGACGCTTAAAAACAAAGCAGAACCATCACTTACTGAGATAAGCAGGTAAGAGAGAAGGTATCAGAGAATTCAGCAACGAGTCAATGCATCCCATTATGCTCTTGTCTATTCATCGATGGGTTTCCAGTGGGCCTTTGAGTGAAAACTGTTCATCTGGCTGTTACCGCCAATACTATTATAAGATTTAGATGCTACTCTGACAGGGGCTCAATTTATCAGTAAGAATCCATATATGATTAAGACCAGTTCACAGTTTATGTGAAACACATCTTTGAGCTCTAAATCTTTTGTTTCTGTTGTCATAAACAGAACACTGTTCAAAACTACAACGTGTTGATATAATGAGAAATATTAAAACCTACTGGTTTCAGTTAGTCAACATAGAATAGGTTTTTTTATTTGGATTAGTGGATAGTTTGCGTCAATGTTTTCTTAGGTATACATGAAAATCTGTAGTATAATTTGAAAAGTTGAGTATTTTTCAAGGCTGTTTACATAAAATCATATTACACAACCGAAAGTGAAAAAGGCCATTTAATTATTGGTACTAGCAGGAATGTAAGCAAATGAAGTACGAAGTGAGCATTCACTTCTGACACATTTATTTGCAGACATTTAACTAGCTTTTCAATCTAATAATTTCTCTCATTAGAAAAACCAACATTTTTAATCATATAAGTTAATTTCAGCCATCTTTTTCCACTTTCTTTACTCATAAAACTTAGAAATTTCACTTGCATGTTGAGCATGTTAGTTTGAAATCTCGAATGTCAACGGCAAGTATCCGTCCTTATGTCCAACGAGGTGGACCCCACTGGTCATGACTTCTCACTGGAACTCCAGGAAACATCGTCACTAGCTAGCATCAGAATAATTTTCAAGAGTTGATTTGTAGGGATTTGATTTATTTGATCACGGATCGATGCCACTTACAGAACCACTGAAAGCCAAGGAGTACAGGGCAACGGCTTCTTCCTAGTTTGAGACTATTCAGCAGTAAGCAAGCAAGATCTTCCGGTTACAAGCCAAGCTCGTATATCATTCAGCCATGGGGATCCCATCCAGTTGCTCATGAATTCCAAGCTCAACCAATTCTTGATTTTAGCGTGACCACCAACTAATGTTTTCGGCAAGTATTTGTCATTACGGCCGGTGGATGCTTTCTGCTAAAGAGTCCCAAATCAGGGTGATACAGTTTTCAAGCCTTCCTTAGTTTTCAGTGGTTCTCTAAGTGATATTGATCCGTGATTTAGGCTGAAATAAATCAAACTCCTACAAACTAACTTTTGAAGATCATTCTGATGCTTTCTAATGACTCGTTACAGGAAGAAGTCTCCTGGGACATCATGACCAATGAAATCTCTGCGTTAGAAATCATTCACTTAATAGTAGAAAATCGTAGTGTTACCTTTTTATAAAGGGTCAGTACTTCATGTTTAATGTTTCCACTCTTTGAAAATTTGGGAGGGGGAATAATAGATTTAACGTATAAAACCACTTTCATTATTTCACACATTTTACTTTGAGTCATATGTTTAAACTTTAAGAAAAAGCAGTATATGTTAATGATCATAAAGACATAACACCAAGACTTGCTCTGCTCCCTGTGTCGGCGGTTCAGTGCTGGAATACTTGCCAACCATTCAACTGGTCCAGAGTTCATTTCCAAACTGATGTGCTTCTAAACCTAACTAAGCCGACAGTAAGCACAGGAAAGAGGAAAGGTTAGGCGTGAGGCTAGCTACCCCACGCAGTAAGAATAAAACGCAAACTTCAAAGTTCATGCTTGAAGCCCTATGTTCCACTCGGAACGGGAAGGAATGAAATAATCTGAAAAATCTGTTATCAGCAGTATTTAGACTAAATAATTAGAATTTATACTAATAGATATCAACTTGTATGTATAGTATACTCATTCTGACCAGACTTTCTGCAAAAAAGGAATAAAAAGTGATGACACTGTGCCTCATTTATTTCAAAACGCCTAAAAGTGTTCGATTATTACAGATTAACGTCATAGTGCTCTGGAAGTGGCACTGTAACAACAGAAGGCAAGGGCCAGGCAACAGATCGTTTATTAAGGAAAATCAACACATATTTATAGATTTTAATGTACATTATTGTAGATTATTGTTAGTAGAAAATACAGTCTTTTGATTGATTGTTTCTCACAGAAAGTTAACCTTGCACTATTGGGACAAACATTAGTAATTACTGTCTACCAACTTTGGCTAGCAACCAGCTCTCACCACAGCACTAGCTAACTGTTGATGTAGATATTCAAAGTGCAAAATGTTACATTACTGTCAAAGGATATTATACCTTCATATAAGTAATAAGATCATAAAGTCGAACTATTCATTCCCCTAATAGTTGTAACCCTTGCTGCGTGGAATTTATGTGACTTTTTAAATATAAACCATTTCAAAGTTATGAGTAATCGATATTTTATAATATTCTATCATATTTATTCTGTTTTGTCTCTTAGATCCTTCTGAAAATAAAGAGGAATGTGTTGATATATCACCGAAATCATCTTGTTTAGCATGGAAAATGATAGGTTATTGTAATTTTCCACATGTTTCTAAACTATGCTTAAAAACATGTTATTTATGTGAAACTATTGAGTTGCTGAGTAAATATAAACCATTAATATTTTAAATTTCCTCTTTGTTTTTTCTTCAAAACCTGTATCTTAATATAATTTCGTTTTTTTTTGTTTTGTTTAACCTTATTTTAACTCATTCAAGTAATCATTGCAGCTATATAATTAATTATTTTGTTAATTAATTGTAATGATGACTACATCATATTCTAGTTTGAATCATATCCTTTTTTGTAATAATAAAAGTTATTAACAAGGCATATAAATTGTTTTGAACAAGTCAGTTTCGTTTTCATTTAAAGGATTAAGAAATAAATTAGCAGAAATGTCCAACACCAGGAAATTTTTTCGTAGGCTTTCAAATTATACAGGTTCATAAGAATTATCCCTCTGTTGTGTATTATTATTATTATTGTTGTTCCCTTGGGTTCCTAGTGGAACATAGGGCTTCAACTGCACGCCTCCACTTGCTTCTGTCTTCTGCTGTACTTTTCACTTGCATCCATGTTTTTCCATACTGTTTCAGTTCCTCTTCACACGATCTCCTCCATGTCACCCTTGGACGTCCCACTCGCCGCTTCCCTTTCGGGTTCCACTCGAGCACTGGCCTGACGTGCGATGTCACCCAGCGGCCACCTCAGCGAATGTCCAATCCATCTCCACTTTCTCCTGCATATTTGTTGGGCGATTGGTTCTTGTTTTGTTTGTTCCCATAGTTTCTTGTTGGTGATTCTTTCCGGCCATCTGATCTTCAGTATAGAACGAAGACAGCTGTTGATGAAGGTCTGCAACAGGCTGTTGGAAATATTCTTTGTGACCCGCCAAGTTTCTGATCCATATAGAAGAACTGAATGACTTGACGTTTGTATTGAAAATCCGAATTTTGTTGTTGATGCTGAGTGACGAAGATTTCCAGATTGGTTTCTCGCCTTCCCGATTCAGGACTATGCTAAAAGATCTGCTTCCTTACCGGAGTCAATGGAAAGCATGAAATAGATAATGGATAAATATGGACTGCAAATAATCAACCACATTATGGTTCATTATGTATGCCTCATACTTAAATAAAGCTGGCAATTCATTCGTTTTCCAGTCAGTGAGTGGTAAAGTAATAGAATAGACACCCAGGGAAATGAACGCACCAATGACTTTGCAACACCTAATCTGAGCAATTCAGCGAAATCAGGTAAATATACCTATATTCGTAAAAAAAATGTGTTGGAAGGAGTGAATGTATATTAAGCAGAATATATTATTTGTACAGTTTCAAGTTAGGGAAGCACTACGTCTAGAGATAAGCTCGAGATAGTTTAGGCGATGGTAAGGTTTGTTTTGGGCTAGCCAAGTTATAAGACTACGAGTAGGGTTAGGTTAAAAACCCAAAGTCATTGGTGTGTTTGTTTGTCTGGATATCTACAATTTAACCTAAACTATAATAATTGATAATTTAAGTTGGAGAGAAACAATGAAAGAGTAGCAGCTGGTACGGACAGCCTTCTAAACGACCTCCAGCTGCCAGTGAGTGTACATACATCTTTATGTGATAAGTTTAAGCAATTCAAATATCCACTTATTTTACTGCCTGGATACATTGTTTTGCTTATTCCTACGAAAAAGCAGTGAAATTCATGAAAATGTCGCCTACTTACTCGCTACAAACTGCGTCACGTAAAAACTAATACTAACGAGTAAATAAGTGACTTTGTTTTATATTCTCATTGACAGAAGCATTTGTTTTAGACAGTGAAATTAGGCATGACTTACACCATATGTAAGCCGTTATTCTAAAAGCTATCAGTTTAGTGTCCCAAATGTCTAAGTGTGTCTCCATTAAGTTAATGTTTACAAATGAAGGGTTGGGAACTCAGAGATAACGGATGACATTATTGTGTGATATCATGAGATAACCTACCTCATTCCAGCTTAAACAGTAAAACGTTGTAAGGACGGAAGGAAAATAATATCATGGAAAGTAAAAGAAATTACTGTTGCAAAAGGAAGAGAAATCAATGCAAATATATAATAGCCTGTTGCTTGGATTAGGACACAGATGAGGTATCAGTGGATATAGTCTGCGAGCCAATACATTTGGAGCCTCAAAGCATGCGTTTTAGCCGTCTCACAACTTTAATGAAAAGCCTTCAGTACCGTGTATAGCTCAAATTAACATTCACAGATTGCATGAATTTGTAGTGCCTCCATATTACCTCTAACTAAACGCTAATAAAGCTAACTCATTTACACATATCATGTTTTAAAGAAATTAATTTTTCGCATGCCTACCGAATATTTGTAACTGAATAACTGGATATTGGTTTTCGTTTGTTTTATGTATGTACTTTACGTGGTAACGCACGCTAGCGTTTGTTTCGTGTGCTTAACAATTCAATTTCTCTAACAATACATTCTCTCATGTATCCAATGCTGCTTTTGATAAAATCTTGTTAGTATTTGGTAGTATGCACTGTCTAGCACATCGAAGAACGTGTAAACACGGATGTAATTTAGCAAAATAATCGGATTTACACACAGTAATCAGTAAATTCTGTACGTGTTTGTGGTAATTGACAATTTTTGTTGTGGTAAGAGCTGTCTGCTAACCGAAGTTGAAAGGCAGCAATGTACGTCAATGTTTACGTCCCAAATCTTGGTCATGAGAAGAAAAAAACAAGAACAAAGAATAACTCAACAACCAATCACAGAAGACTTTGCGTGGGCGGATACGATCAGTGGATATATCAACGGACTGTCTAAGAAACGGTAACAAAGAGATGACAGAATAACTTTCAGGATGGAAACAACCAATCAGAATACGTTATTTCTCTGCTAACAATAACGAATAATGATCTACATAAATTCCATAAATATCTCTTGATCCTGCTGTACAGGTTATATTACTATCTGCAACAATTCCAAATGAAGTCCTTGAAATTACTAGACATTTTATGCGAAATCCTGTACGTATTTTATCAAAATAAGATGAATTAACATTGGAGAGTATACATCAATTTTATGTAAATGTTGAACAAGAAGAATGGAAATTAGAAGCATTATGCGATCTATATCAAAATATAACAATAACACAAGCTGTGGTATTTTGTAATTCACGTCGAAAAGTTGAATGGTTAACAAATGAATTAACTGATTGTGATTTTATTGTATCAGCAATGGTAAGTAATGATAGTGTTTATTTTTTAAGGGAGATAGGGCCTAGTAATGTCTTGGTTAGGCGTAGGATGCTAGGCGGTAAGTCAGTCGACGAGGTTATAAACCACTTCGTCTAAGATGGCTAGGATACAGGTTACGCCTGCCCAAGCCACCGCCTTCTTCGATGGCTATTAACTAACATAGGACTAAGTTTGAAAAGAATTAAGGAGGGGGTGGGGTCAGTGGCATCAATTCACGAAGTCTTTGGCAATTAATCTGAACCTTTTAGGGAGATGTCGACTGCTTGGTTGGTGTCCTCGTAATGCTAAGCACTAATCGCTCGAAACATTTGGTGGTATGGGTCAACATCATTCTTATTCGTGCGGATGTATTCACATTTGGTTACCTCCCAGATGCATTAAATCCTCGTGATTTTCTATGTTATTGTTCTTTCTCCTGCACACTTCTGTTCATTATTGTTATTTATGCAATTTTTAAAGGTTAAATACATACAAACACATGAACCTTGTTACAACAATTAAGAATTAATTTGAACAAATGTACGATCTACAAGTGGTGTGTGATAATCTGTTAAGGTGAATTAATTAATTAACTAATTGAAGTTATTGTTTACAGGATTTCATCATGAGCTGACATCGGTTGTAGAACCATTGGAAAACCTTAGAGTACTGAGCAGCTGTTTCGTCCTAGTTTGGGACTCTTCATAAATGCACACCCACCGGGTTCGAACCAATATTTCAAGATTTTCTCAATGAACGAACTGTTGCCTGGCCCTTGTCTTCTGTTGTTACACATGGCGTCGCTGCCTGTCACGAAAGTAACGTCCCATGGCCTGCAGTTTTTGTAAGAGGAGACATATTGATCTTCTGAAGGGGTTCCGAAGCTATTGAGGAGTTGAATAGCCTTCAAAAGATATCAGTGAAGACGCTTTTACTTGAAACGCTGTTGAAAGGTCAGGCGATGGCAGTATATGATAGTGTGAGGCAAACAGAAGAGCAAGCAACTAAGCAGTCAGTGATTGAACGCTTGAAGCAGGTGTTTGACAGCCCGATGGACAGAGAGCAGGCGATGCAGCAGTTTAGCACTACGAAGCTGAGAGCTAACGGTGATCCTCTCGTATTAGCGCTGACCCTGACAAACCTAATGAGTCGCGCGCTGCCAACAGTGGACGAAGATTCTAAGGCACAAATGTTGGCGTCTCAGTTTATGCTGGGTGTTCCAGAACACATGTCCCAACAGTTGCATCTGATTAACGCTGTACAGCCACTGAAAATTGGGGAGCTTGCTAAGGTAACCAGGTGACTATTAGGCAAGACGGTTTCCACGATAGAGCCACCAAAAGACGAGCAGTGTGAGAAACAAACTAAAGCGCTGCAAGGTGAAATGGCTGCGCTAAGAATGAGCTTACGGAGAGACCGGTGTTTCGCTTGTGGCGAACTGGGACACAGGAAAAAAACAGTTGCCCGGAAAGACGACAGAGCAAAAGTCTTAAAAGATATACTGAGTCTTCTTTCGTCTTTCCGAGACATCAGGTTATAAGGGCGATTGAGAAGAGGGTGATGTATTCGAACGTTCGCGTAAATGACCGCGAGTTGGTGTGTTTCACTGACACAGGGGCGGCAGTCTCACTCGTAGATAAGAGCTTATGTGAGAGTATAAGGCCGTGTTCGTTAATAGTGCAAACAGTGGGGGCCACGTGTTAGGAATCGCAGGAGTGTCAGACTGCAGTGTTAGTACTGAAGAGGATAGCTTGACGTTCCCCTTCCTGGTCGTACATGAGATGCGCTGAACAATCCTTGGCGCAGACGTTTTGCGAGAAGTGGATGCAGTGATTAACGTGAAGAAAAGGGTGGTCTTTGCGAAGTATTGGTGTTTCAGCATGCACGAGGATAGTGAGGTAGCAGGGATTGCAGCGTTGCGAGTTCTAAGTGTAGCGACGTTACTTAGCATATACGAGCATCTTTTCACTGCAAAGGGTGATCCGCATGGTCACTGTGACAAAGTGAGGTACGAAATTCCATAGACAAGCGGGAAAGTGAGACCATTCATCACTTGAAGAGTTCTGTGTCATCTAGAAAATGAGGTTCCAAAACAGTTCGAAAAGATGTTGAAGAGTGACATTATTGAAAAAGCTGATAGCCCATATAGTTTTCCAGTGCTATTGATGAACAAAAGCAACGGGAAATACAGATTTTGTGTTGATTTCCGGCAACTGAACAGTATAACAGAGCTGAGATCGTGTGCGATGCCAACCATAGCAGAAACTTTAGATCGCTTACAAAGCGCGAAGCTGTCCACAGTCTTAGATCCGCGATCGGGGTACTGGCAACTGCCAATAAAACGATGAGATAGAGACGAGACAGTGTTCTTTGTGGGACAGAAACAATATCGGTTTAACTACATGCCTCTTGGGTTGGCAGGTGCCTCGTTTACATTTAGACGATTAGTGACATTGCTGCATAAGAATTTGAGGAACGTCGAAGTTTATGGAGATGATCTAGTGATATACAGTACGAGAGAGATTGACCACGTAGAGCATCTAGAGTCAGCTCTAAGACACATCGAAAAAATCTCAGATTGCTAAGAAGAACGTTACGCTTTTAGGATATAAGGTGGGAAATGACGAGATAACACCGATGCCTGAAAAAATTTTAAAAATCAAGTCCATTGAGCCCCCGAATTCGTAGGGGAAATTAAGACAGATTTTGGGAGAGCAGCGTTCTGTAGTAGATTCGTGAAAAGCTTCAACAAAGTAGCGGCTCCGCCCTACCGGCTATTAGGCGGGTCAAAGTTTGTCTGGTCGGAAGACTCGCAGGGGGGATCTGACAGCAACAAACAGCTGATGGATCACCAGAGAATGACGCTGTGACTACCCGTGCTGGGAAAGCCGTTCATAGGATCTACTGATGCCAATGATTACGGAATAGGCGCAGGGTGACGGAGTCGTCGAATGCGTCAGCCGTGTTTTAACGTTCACGGAACAGAAGTATTCAACAACTGAGAAAGAATGTTTGGCGATTGTGTGGACACGAGACAAATGGACACTCTACTTTTCGGTCAACGCTTCAACGTAGAGACTGATCATGAGTCGTTGCAGTGGCTGAGAACCGCCAGAGACCTACTTGGGAAGTTGTCACGGTGGAAAGTGCCTGCAGGAGTACGATTTCACGATCTCTCATATTCCAGCCGAAGAGAACGCGTTACCGGATATTTTGTCTAGAACAGAATAGGTAGAGTTACCTTGGATAGCGTACGGCGTAAATGCCTTAGAGCAAGACTTGTTCAGATTCAGAGATCAGACTAAACCTTGAAAACTGTCATACAGGCGATAACCAACGAAAATATGGTGAATCGGCCCACAGCGAACCGTGAGCTAAATTTCCTACTCAAACAGAAAGACTGGCTGAACTTGAATGTCTGCGAATGTTGACGTGGCGAGAGGATGACGGAAGATGCTTAGCAGTAATACCTAAATGTCTGCGCCAAGAGATGATACAAGAATGTCACCAGCTAGCTCACACAAGTGTTGCCAGAACGAACGACCTCCTGCGACAAAGCACGTACTATCCAAGTATGAGAAAAGACGTCAAGAAGTACGTAACAGCACGTAACGTAACGTGCACGCAATGTCAGATGATGGAAGGTTGAAGTACATACGACCTTTCATTGCAGTCGATTCCAGTGACAGTAGCGGGTGACCTGTGGTCCCGAGATGTTTCAACATATCGTTGCAAACCACGGTATGCCAAAAGCGATATTGACAGACCGAGGTCCGTGTTTTGAAAGCGAAGAGTTCAAAGTTCGGTTGCTTAAGTTAGGTATCAAGAAAATTAGAACAAGGCCATATCATCCACAAACAAAAGGCTTGACGGAGAGAAATAACCGTACCCTGAAAGAATGGCTGGCCACAAAGGGAGGTAACTGGGAGACAGAGCTTCCACTGATTTTGCTAGCACGTTGCCCGCCCAAGAAACGACGAAGAAAGCACCGTTTCAGTTGATGTATGGGAGGAAACCACGACTACTGATGAGTAACAAGATCTGCTCCCGCCACCAGCAGTGGAGTATGACGACATAGCAGACGGAGCAGAAAGATGCCATCAACAATGTAGAACGAAAACAGAAATTGGGCGCTGTGAAATCGGAACAGAGAGTAAAGGGAAAGTAACCCGCATTCGAGACCAGAGATCAAGTCGCATGTAGTGATAGGCGAAATACCGGTGGATACGTGCCCGGATCGTGAAAACTGCTAACAAAGTGATAAGGATCGTACGCGGTCACCGTGGGATGCAGTCACCTATGTACCATCATAAATGTAAACGAAGATAAGCGGGTGAACGTCAGCGAGCTCCAGAAATGGATACAGCGAGACAAGCCAATGAAGACTCCAGCACCTAGAAGATCCGGCTGGCTTCAGTCTAAACTGTTTGACGGTGAGACGAGCGTTGTGAGAGCTATCTGCCAGCCAAAATTGGTAGGCAGCAATGTACGTCAATGTTTACGTCCCAAATCTTGGTCATGAGAAGAAAAAAACAAGAACAAAGAATAACTCAACAACCAATCACAGAAGACTTTGCGTGGGCGGATACGATCAGTGGATATATCAACGGACTGTCTAAGAAACGGTAACAAAGAGATGACAGAATAACTTTCAGGATGGAAACAACCAATCAGAATACGTTATTTCTCTGCTAACAATAACGAATAATGATCTACATAAATTCCATAAATATCTCTTGATCCTGCTGTACAGGTTATATTACTATCTGCAACAATTCCAAATGAAGTCCTTGAAATTACTAGACATTTTATGCGAAATCCTGTACGTATTTTATCAAAATAAGATGAATTAACATTGGAGAGTATACATCAATTTTATGTAAATGTTGAACAAGAAGAATGGAAATTAGAAGCATTATGCGATCTATATCAAAATATAACAATAACACAAGCTGTGGTATTTTGTAATTCACGTCGAAAAGTTGAATGGTTAACAAATGAATTAACTGATTGTGATTTTATTGTATCAGCAATGGTAAGTAATGATAGTGTTTATTTTTTAAGGGAGATAGGGCCTAGTAATGTCTTGGTTAGGCGTAGGATGCTAGGCGGTAAGTCAGTCGACGAGGTTATAAACCACTTCGTCTAAGATGGCTAGGATACAGGTTACGCCTGCCCAAGCCACCGCCTTCTTCGATGGCTATTAACTAACATAGGACTAAGTTTGAAAAGAATTAAGGAGGGGGTGGGGTCAGTGGCATCAATTCACGAAGTCTTTGGCAATTAATCTGAACCTTTTAGGGAGATGTCGACTGCTTGGTTGGTGTCCTCGTAATGCTAAGCACTAATCGCTCGAAACATTTGGTGGTATGGGTCAACATCATTCTTATTCGTGCGGATGTATTCACATTTGGTTACCTCCCAGATGCATTAAATCCTCGTGATTTTCTATGTTATTGTTCTTTCTCCTGCACACTTCTGTTCATTATTGTTATTTATGCAATTTTTAAAGGTTAAATACATACAAACACATGAACCTTGTTACAACAATTAAGAATTAATTTGAACAAATGTACGATCTACAAGTGGTGTGTGATAATCTGTTAAGGTGAATTAATTAATTAACTAATTGAAGTTATTGTTTACAGGATTTCATCATGAGCTGACATCGGTTGTAGAACCATTGGAAAACCTTAGAGTACTGAGCAGCTGTTTCGTCCTAGTTTGGGACTCTTCATAAATGCACACCCACCGGGTTCGAACCAATATTTCAAGATTTTCTCAATGAACGAACTGTTGCCTGGCCCTTGTCTTCTGTTGTTACACATGGCGTCGCTGCCTGTCACGAAAGTAACGTCCCATGGCCTGCAGTTTTTGTAAGAGGAGACATATTGATCTTCTGAAGGGGTTCCGAAGCTATTGAGGAGTTGAATAGCCTTCAAAAGATATCAGTGAAGACGCTTTTACTTGAAACGCTGTTGAAAGGTCAGGCGATGGCAGTATATGATAGTGTGAGGCAAACAGAAGAGCAAGCAACTAAGCAGTCAGTGATTGAACGCTTGAAGCAGGTGTTTGACAGCCCGATGGACAGAGAGCAGGCGATGCAGCAGTTTAGCACTACGAAGCTGAGAGCTAACGGTGATCCTCTCGTATTAGCGCTGACCCTGACAAACCTAATGAGTCGCGCGCTGCCAACAGTGGACGAAGATTCTAAGGCACAAATGTTGGCGTCTCAGTTTATGCTGGGTGTTCCAGAACACATGTCCCAACAGTTGCATCTGATTAACGCTGTACAGCCACTGAAAATTGGGGAGCTTGCTAAGGTAACCAGGTGACTATTAGGCAAGACGGTTTCCACGATAGAGCCACCAAAAGACGAGCAGTGTGAGAAACAAACTAAAGCGCTGCAAGGTGAAATGGCTGCGCTAAGAATGAGCTTACGGAGAGACCGGTGTTTCGCTTGTGGCGAACTGGGACACAGGAAAAAAACAGTTGCCCGGAAAGACGACAGAGCAAAAGTCTTAAAAGATATACTGAGTCTTCTTTCGTCTTTCCGAGACATCAGGTTATAAGGGCGATTGAGAAGAGGGTGATGTATTCGAACGTTCGCGTAAATGACCGCGAGTTGGTGTGTTTCACTGACACAGGGGCGGCAGTCTCACTCGTAGATAAGAGCTTATGTGAGAGTATAAGGCCGTGTTCGTTAATAGTGCAAACAGTGGGGGCCACGTGTTAGGAATCGCAGGAGTGTCAGACTGCAGTGTTAGTACTGAAGAGGATAGCTTGACGTTCCCCTTCCTGGTCGTACATGAGATGCGCTGAACAATCCTTGGCGCAGACGTTTTGCGAGAAGTGGATGCAGTGATTAACGTGAAGAAAAGGGTGGTCTTTGCGAAGTATTGGTGTTTCAGCATGCACGAGGATAGTGAGGTAGCAGGGATTGCAGCGTTGCGAGTTCTAAGTGTAGCGACGTTACTTAGCATATACGAGCATCTTTTCACTGCAAAGGGTGATCCGCATGGTCACTGTGACAAAGTGAGGTACGAAATTCCATAGACAAGCGGGAAAGTGAGACCATTCATCACTTGAAGAGTTCTGTGTCATCTAGAAAATGAGGTTCCAAAACAGTTCGAAAAGATGTTGAAGAGTGACATTATTGAAAAAGCTGATAGCCCATATAGTTTTCCAGTGCTATTGATGAACAAAAGCAACGGGAAATACAGATTTTGTGTTGATTTCCGGCAACTGAACAGTATAACAGAGCTGAGATCGTGTGCGATGCCAACCATAGCAGAAACTTTAGATCGCTTACAAAGCGCGAAGCTGTCCACAGTCTTAGATCCGCGATCGGGGTACTGGCAACTGCCAATAAAACGATGAGATAGAGACGAGACAGTGTTCTTTGTGGGACAGAAACAATATCGGTTTAACTACATGCCTCTTGGGTTGGCAGGTGCCTCGTTTACATTTAGACGATTAGTGACATTGCTGCATAAGAATTTGAGGAACGTCGAAGTTTATGGAGATGATCTAGTGATATACAGTACGAGAGAGATTGACCACGTAGAGCATCTAGAGTCAGCTCTAAGACACATCGAAAAAATCTCAGATTGCTAAGAAGAACGTTACGCTTTTAGGATATAAGGTGGGAAATGACGAGATAACACCGATGCCTGAAAAAATTTTAAAAATCAAGTCCATTGAGCCCCCGAATTCGTAGGGGAAATTAAGACAGATTTTGGGAGAGCAGCGTTCTGTAGTAGATTCGTGAAAAGCTTCAACAAAGTAGCGGCTCCGCCCTACCGGCTATTAGGCGGGTCAAAGTTTGTCTGGTCGGAAGACTCGCAGGGGGGATCTGACAGCAACAAACAGCTGATGGATCACCAGAGAATGACGCTGTGACTACCCGTGCTGGGAAAGCCGTTCATAGGATCTACTGATGCCAATGATTACGGAATAGGCGCAGGGTGACGGAGTCGTCGAATGCGTCAGCCGTGTTTTAACGTTCACGGAACAGAAGTATTCAACAACTGAGAAAGAATGTTTGGCGATTGTGTGGACACGAGACAAATGGACACTCTACTTTTCGGTCAACGCTTCAACGTAGAGACTGATCATGAGTCGTTGCAGTGGCTGAGAACCGCCAGAGACCTACTTGGGAAGTTGTCACGGTGGAAAGTGCCTGCAGGAGTACGATTTCACGATCTCTCATATTCCAGCCGAAGAGAACGCGTTACCGGATATTTTGTCTAGAACAGAATAGGTAGAGTTACCTTGGATAGCGTACGGCGTAAATGCCTTAGAGCAAGACTTGTTCAGATTCAGAGATCAGACTAAACCTTGAAAACTGTCATACAGGCGATAACCAACGAAAATATGGTGAATCGGCCCACAGCGAACCGTGAGCTAAATTTCCTACTCAAACAGAAAGACTGGCTGAACTTGAATGTCTGCGAATGTTGACGTGGCGAGAGGATGACGGAAGATGCTTAGCAGTAATACCTAAATGTCTGCGCCAAGAGATGATACAAGAATGTCACCAGCTAGCTCACACAAGTGTTGCCAGAACGAACGACCTCCTGCGACAAAGCACGTACTATCCAAGTATGAGAAAAGACGTCAAGAAGTACGTAACAGCACGTAACGTAACGTGCACGCAATGTCAGATGATGGAAGGTTGAAGTACATACGACCTTTCATTGCAGTCGATTCCAGTGACAGTAGCGGGTGACCTGTGGTCCCGAGATGTTTCAACATATCGTTGCAAACCACGGTATGCCAAAAGCGATATTGACAGACCGAGGTCCGTGTTTTGAAAGCGAAGAGTTCAAAGTTCGGTTGCTTAAGTTAGGTATCAAGAAAATTAGAACAAGGCCATATCATCCACAAACAAAAGGCTTGACGGAGAGAAATAACCGTACCCTGAAAGAATGGCTGGCCACAAAGGGAGGTAACTGGGAGACAGAGCTTCCACTGATTTTGCTAGCACGTTGCCCGCCCAAGAAACGACGAAGAAAGCACCGTTTCAGTTGATGTATGGGAGGAAACCACGACTACTGATGAGTAACAAGATCTGCTCCCGCCACCAGCAGTGGAGTATGACGACATAGCAGACGGAGCAGAAAGATGCCATCAACAATGTAGAACGAAAACAGAAATTGGGCGCTGTGAAATCGGAACAGAGAGTAAAGGGAAAGTAACCCGCATTCGAGACCAGAGATCAAGTCGCATGTAGTGATAGGCGAAATACCGGTGGATACGTGCCCGGATCGTGAAAACTGCTAACAAAGTGATAAGGATCGTACGCGGTCACCGTGGGATGCAGTCACCTATGTACCATCATAAATGTAAACGAAGATAAGCGGGTGAACGTCAGCGAGCTCCAGAAATGGATACAGCGAGACAAGCCAATGAAGACTCCAGCACCTAGAAGATCCGGCTGGCTTCAGTCTAAACTGTTTGACGGTGAGACGAGCGTTGTGAGAGCTATCTGCCAGCCAAAATTGGTAGGCAGCAATGTACGTCAATGTTTACGTCCCAAATCTTGGTCATGAGAAGAAAAAAACAAGAACAAAGAATAACTCAACAACCAATCACAGAAGACTTTGCGTGGGCGGATACGATCAGTGGATATATCAACGGACTGTCTAAGAAACGGTAACAAAGAGATGACAGAATAACTTTCAGGATGGAAACAACCAATCAGAATACGTTATTTCTCTGCTAACAATAACGAATAATGATCTACATAAAATTCCATAAATGTCTCTCGATTTTATCAATAAACTATCTGTTGCCTGGTTCTTGTCTTCTGCCGTTTCACTATCACTGTATTGTTTAAATACTAACTGGTGCTTGTTAATATTTATAATATGAATTACAAAGAATTCCTCCAAATACCAATTCCTGAATTCATACCTCTCTGTGTTGTTGGTTGACCTCCTGTAATTCGGTCACTGCAAATTACTACTATAACAAATAATCGTAACAACGTTCTCATGCGCTTCCTTACCAATTTTTTACGCACTACAAGATTTTTGCATACGATAACCGTGATAGAGGTATGAAGTGTACTAACAGAACATATTCCCACGTTAGCTGAGTGGATGTAGTTAAGAAAACTCAATAATTAGCTGATCTTGATTACAACTGCTTGTTTTGCTAATATGGTATTCCTAATAAACACTGATGAGGCTACGAAATAAACAACGATCAATTAATTTCTAAAAAATAATACGTACCTCCTAATTATCACGGATATGCAAAACTATATGCCGAAGGAAACTGAATTTGGTGACATCTAAATAGTTGTATGGTAAACATTTCTAGATTCTGTCTAAAACACATTTATCCCACATGAAGCGTTGTCAGTACTCTTGGCAGACGAAATGTTAATAATAATGATAATAATTTATCTTTTCATATAAACATAAATTTACATGAAAATGCATGCCATTTTTACAGGCACGATCAAGTATGATATAATGTCAAATAGTAGATTGTCTACAAGTTAATGTTTGAACAGCTAAATATTTGATATATATAATACTAATAGTATATTCTCATTTTTTGCTTTAGTCAATTCATTAAGTGATCAATAAATCACTTTCAGGTGGTTAGAAAGCGTCTAAAACCACTCAAACAATGTCGTATGAGTAATTTAGTTCAACTTTAAGTGTCCCACGACGATAATTCCTGAAAACTAAGTCAGTATTGTAAAGAGCTTGATAGATACAACAATAAGACATCAAAGTGGGTTATACAATCTAAGTTCCAAAACAATCACGAGTGAATCGGTATTTGGAGTGAAATGACAATTTAAAATTTAAGACATAACCAGTGCCACTTATTTTTCAACAGTAGTATGCGAATTCTGTTGCCTAACTAAGAAAATGCTGACCTGCTAAGGTTATCAGGTTGGTTTCCCAAACTTTGATGAAGCTGCTGTTAAATGTTAAATGTACAATATTCAGCACTCAGCAGTCAAATTTCTAGCATAGGTCATCCCATAAAAGGTGCATTATGGTCACATCGACATTCTACAATGTGTGCTAACAGTCATTAAACTTCCACTGCTCATTCAGAGGCGCTCGCCGACAATTGTTAGTTGATAATAATATAGAGGCTTACGCTCAGAGAACTGTATCTCTAAATTACTGATTATTTTTAGTTAGAATGATTTCAGAAGTCGATTTAATATTTCAGCTTTTCTTTTAATCGTATTATAAGCGGTTCACTATATTTAACCTGTAATTTCATGATTCACATCCCAGTTACATAACAGCCCGTAGTGTTCAGTGCTCAGTGACCAAGACCATGAATGGCTAAGAATGAATCCTATCATGTCTTTGCTCATGTTACAGCAAGTGGCCAGTTGGTGTTTACACTGTTAATGGTACCGAAGGAAGAAAAACAGCGATTGATTACCAGATAGTTGTTATTGACGTCTAACACTCAACTTAATCTATATTGTTTTACTCTTATCTGCTTCTCTTCCATTTAGCCCTTAATGTACATTCACTTCTGGATCTCGAAGTAAATATATATATATAATGTAACTGGTTGAGTCCTCTGCAAGATGTATGTTGATACATCTCACTGCACAATAGATGCCACACCCCGTATAATACTAAATTCGGAAACCATATTAATAAATGTGTTCGGTATTAATATATATGTTCGGAAACCATATGTTTTACGTTCGGTTATTTAGGTCACTTTCTGTACCTAACCGAAGGCGATAAATTCATCATACGCTCTTTCTTTTATCTCAGCCTCAGAAATGAAACTGCAGCATGAATGACAATAAGGTGTTTCCTGTTTATAAGTAGATGTAATTTAATATTGATTGTCATGTATTCACCGGAAGTTTCCACCGCATATTACCCCGAAAATACATATACTGACGCCGTCCAAGTGCCCAAACTGAGAAGAAGGCGATTCTGCTGTCTGAATGTCAGTACTAAAGAAAGACAGCACAGCCCTCAACAAAAGCAATGTTGAATGACACACAGAAATGTTCCTAGATAAATTTTATACTTCAGATGCCAGTTATTCCAACTTCCATAGTGATTAGGTTGAACCCCTTTCCGGAATTCAAGGGCCTACCACAGGCAAGTGAAGACTGAAAGCAAATATACTTGACTGTGTCTAGTCTTTATCTATAGGCTGACTGGATCTGTTTCGGTATTAATAGTTGACTTAACTACATTATCACCGCCAAACGAAAACCATTTCACTAATAGTCTTTTATCTTCTATGGACTAAAAATCTTCTGTAGTTATCCTTGCGAAAGTAATATGTTCCTTTGGGCACTATCCCGTGAAACTTTATGTTCACCCCTAGGAAACTATTCTCTTAAACTGTTTAGCTGACTTTGAGCTCGCCTCCGGTCAGCTTCAGCTAGAAATAGCTTTCCCAATTCCTGTGTGCGCATTAGTACTGCTAGACCTGAACTTTGACCACAGTACCTGCTGGCACTTAATTTTAGGGCGCCATTCACTAAACCAACATAGCAACGGCCATCAACACGAAAATTAGCGGGGATATGCAATAAAGCCACTCCACACATATTATACGGAATTCCTCGGTTTCGTCAAGTGAAGGCATTCTTTTAGTTATATAGAGATTCACTCGTTTTATTCACCCGCAAATGGCAGAAAGAGAATTTTGTTAAGTTATTTAATATTATTGGTGCATTTTCAGTAATTGGACACTTTGTACTTGTTAGTTGTGTGGGCGCTCATTTCGACATTGCTTTTTGTACTCGTTTGTTTTCCGTCAGCTTTTAAGGTTAGTTTCGGAATGTTATGCTAGATCTAAATTCTGTTCCGGATTCTTTATTGTCTTGCGTTGTGACTTCATCGTGTCATTATGTCTAGCTTCTAAGTAATCCTGCACTGCATGACAAAGGTATTCGATAATTTTTGAAGTCAGTTATGTTGTTAACCACCCAATTCTCCTAAAAGACGTGTAGAAAGCTGTCCGAAACACGTTTATTATTGTTGTCCTGAGTCTTGATTATCTTTGAGGAGTGGAAGCACTCGTCGATACATTCTACTTCAAGAAGAAATTACGTGTTTGAGCTGCAACTGAATCAACAAGTTGGTAGCCGAATATAGGATGCTAGTGATTATTCGTTAGTTAATGACTTTCCCCTTGTTTATTCCCGTTTGTCGATAAGCATTTATGTGAAAATAAACCGTCGATTATGCCATTTGTTCCACATTTTGACATCGTCTAAAAGATGACAGATCTCAGTCATTCACCCGGTGCACTATACAAAAATGGGTAAAATTGCTGGCGTACATATAACGGAAAGATGCACATAACCACTGTCTATCAGTACAAGTGGCATAGTGCTGGCGGATGAATACTGGAGACATCTTCATATAACTATAGGTCATGTGTCCACGGATCTTATTTGACTGTTCTTCAGATTTGATTTCAAGCTGAAGTCCTGCGTAATGTTCCTCCTGAGACAAGCATATACTTTCGTTGAGGTCCATACGAATTCTTTGGTACCCGCAGTGAAAGCCAAAGGATTAGTTCAACGTTCTAAGCTGTCCTTTGTCCCATGGTAAGGGGTGAACTCGTTCAATCTATTTGGAAGTTGTAATAAAGTTAGGCTAGGTACAATGTCTTATACTCACTGCAGGAATCATAGACAAGCCTTAGTAACACTCTCAAGGTCTCATAAAGATGAGACAGAAACGAATACAGGAAAGACGCCTAAAAACGACTTAGTCACATCTATTCATTCATGGGCCAGCGGCTACGATAATATAGACCATCTGCGTGAAATATATTTTTCGTTGAAGCATTGGAAGACGTGATTAAAGTAAAACCCTCACATGCGTTTGCTTGTGTTCCGAAGCTATTCTGTCCCGTTTATAGGTAGCAAAATATAAGGAAAAAACTTGGGTACTGTGGTCGAATAGGATAATTCGACCTGACAAGAGCATCTACTGATATAACGTTGTGTGGTGATGACATTTCGAGCTTGGTGTACTTGTCCTGCTCATAATCAAATCAGAACCTTGATGTAATGTAGGCGATCAATAACCTGGAACTCTGGACGAAGCGTCTAAAATAGCAACACAAATGCCATGTAGCACCGGTGTAATTTCCCCCAAACATACTTGCCAGTGGCTGGTTAACACCATATTATATACTGAAGTTGAGCTCCGCAGTAAATTGTAGTTAATACGGTCTTTAGGAGTATGTAACCGTGACCTAAGACCAGATCCTTCCAAAGTTAAGGAATAGCGACTCAAGCGATGTGAACGCACAGCTGACCTTGAGGTGACCAATGAGAATAACCAGTGTCTTCTTACATAAAAATGCCGTTTATATACCAGAAAAATACAGATAATTAAGAACACTAAAACCACATGATAAAAATAAAGTACCCTAAACCTAACCGTAGCTCTAACGAGCTATCAACCCATTATCCAGATAGTAATTAAAAATGAGGTCGGGATGAAACTTGCATCACAGTTTGTGGACAGCGTTCATAGTGACGCTATAATAATGGTAGGTCCCGTTATCGAACCAGTAGTGTGTTTATGGCCATTTGAGCTTTCGTGCTCCTGGATCACTATTCTTTAGTTTGGCCTGACACCTTAGTCATGGGATCGATCAAGTTCTTTGGTGTGTAACGTACTAAAAGTGTATCATTTTTGGATTCTAGAACGTTTTGTTCCTAGGGATTAAGTTGAATGTTATCAGATTATGTTCAGTCAATCGGTCGTTGGTGCCTCTAAATGTGGTATGTGCTTAATGTCCTCATGGCGTAAATTAATTAAATGTATTCCACAAAAACTTTCTTATTCACCTATCTTAAGGATGTGCCATTAGAAGTAACTAAGGTTCTTTTGTTTATGAAGAGCTTCACTTTTCATTGGTGTGACAGATGATAGTAATAGTCGACTATGCACATGCCCATCTGTGACACTTTTTAATACTAAACCTTTGGATTGGACACTAGTAACTAGTGTGACGTGTCTAGTCCTTTCTTTGGTGCAGACTGAATTCTATCAGTCAGGTTTTGCAATGTGGCCACCACTCTAGGTAGCTCGCCATCACGGTGCACATTGATTTAATGATATTAGATAGTTGGAGGCAGTCGGCAGGAAGCCTTGGACCTATCCCGAATAGCTCAGTGGTAACGTCTCTGACTGCAGTACTCACTGGGTGACACGGATTCGAATCTCAGAGGGGTGGGACATGAGTTCCTTCAAGGTTGCAGATACGCCTTGCTGATGAGTGCCAACTAGCACGAAACCTAGGTTAGGTAGGGCTTCCTGCCGATTGCCTCCAACTATCTAATATCATCAATACTAAACCTTGTTGATACTTGACTACTCTCTGGGTATGGTCTACGCAAATAGGTGCATCTAGGAACAAGTTCACTTATGCGATCATTCTGCCTCTGAATGTCTGAAATTCATCTTGTGACACACCATTCTGTAGTATAGATGTTTTTGAAATCTTATGCAAATCCTCGTGTTTTAAAAAATAGCTAATAACTCATATTTGCTAACATAATTCCATTTTTGGAAGTCGTTAGCATACTTTGAGTCCTACTGTAATAAAGTGCATGATCCTTAGACCTTGAATGACAGCTGTTGACTCATATTTGCTATGTTTCTTTAACTTTTTTATTTTCACCCCAAAAGTTTATGCTTTATTTAATTTATCATAAATTGAAAAAGTTATTCTGTTTTATTTCACAGCAGTTATATATTCATCAGACAAATAATGAAGTTATTCTCATTACAAATACTTTATAAAACCGATACATCAGCCAAAATGTTACAGGCTGCACATGAACTATCAAATTTTGGTTATTTTCAACGTTCGAGTATTAAAGAATTTATGGATTTCACTGCTAAACTTGTTTGCGAACGAACTGCTCGCTGCCAGCGCGGATTAATTAAGGAGCAAGGTTTGATTTTCGTATAAGTTATACTTATTCTACTGTTACGTAGATTATATGTGTCATGTTTACGTGCGACATGACAATTTATGTGGAGTTTTAATATGCGATCAAGAATATCCTCAAAGAGTAGCACAAACTTTATTGACTAAAGTGAGTAATATAGTATGTTGAGTTTGTTTTTAATGTTTAAATGGTATTCTACAGTTTCTTTTATCTATTGAATAGTCAGTTTACCTCTTTATGTGATCTTTATTCTGATTTAAGGGAATTGTTTTTAACTATTTTAACTAAAATACCATTAAAACTGAGTTGCGAGCTTCCAGTGTAGTGCTACATTCAAAAGGCTGATAGTTATTTCAGCTATCCACTTTGAAGGTGACTGTTGATTCAACTCATTAGGATGTTGGACCTTTCAATAGCAACAAAAAAATAATGTAATTTCCTAATTATATTTTAGTAATGACAGTGCCTGTTGCCATTTTGTGCTGTTTAGCTCTTTATGAGTAAACATCATCATTCAGCCTTGGTGGTGAATTATTTTTAGTATGACTTTCACTAGATGTGGCTTCCGATAAGTGCTTTGTCCTATGCTTGGACTCGTCAGCATTGCGTACCGTACCTAAGACTTCCAGGTATAACTCCCAAACTAAGACGAAACCGATGCCTTGTGCTCCTTGGCTTTCAGTAGTTCTCTAACTGGTATTAGTTCATTACCAAATATATTTTAAGCCTTTAGATGTGTAGCTATCTTCCAGTTCTGAGAATTGTGTTCAATTCATCACCGATATTTGTTAATGTCAAAATGTTTTCTTTTTTATTATTTAGGCTACTGAAGATTTTTCTGCACAATATCCTGCTTCCACGTGGACAAGTATGGCTGATGCGTAAGTTTGTTATCCCAGTAATTCTTATCTGTGTTTGGTTCCACACGTATATGGTTGATTTTTATAAGGCCTGTTTGTGATAGTCTTTGGTTTTATACTATTTCCATCCCCTTGGATTCGGTGTAGAACACAGGGTTTCAATAGCTGATTATGTTTATATAGAGTTTCGATATTGTCTTTTATATATATTCAAGCACATTGCCACTGTTTTGTGTATCTGCGTTGATAATGTTCTCTTAAAATCCTTTGTCCACACCTATAAATTCGGTGGTTAGATGTGAAACACCCATTTTATCATTATTTTTATTTGATTCCTTTACGTTCCCAGTGGAACATAAGGCTTCAGACTAGAGCTTTGAAGTTTCGGTAGCAGTGGTTTCATTTATACGGGATAGGGTTGCTAGCCTCATGCCCAACCTTCCCTCTTTACCAGCCTTAATACTGGCTTTGCGAGGTAAAGGAGTGTGTCGGCTGGGGATGAAACCCCGAACCACATGCGTGGTTGGCGAGCATTCTAGCATTGTGCCACCCACTTAAGTTTAGCGAGATGGACTAAACATACACTGAGGAGGCCGTTGGGTTACATCATGCGCCAGGCCCTTAAGTGGAACCCAAGTGGGAAACAATGTGTTAGGTATGGGTCCGAGGGCTACATGTAAGAGGTCGTGTGAGGAACTGGCTAATAAAGACTTCAGAGAACAGGGTGAAATAGAGATGTTGTTGTGGAATCCCTATGTTTCATTCGGAATCCAAAGGGATGATAATAATAATTTGTATCTCTATCATAGAAAAGGTGTAAGTTATCACAGTTGGCAATTTTCCGAATGGTCACTGGATTGAGTGATTTATAGCCTTTGCAACTAAAAAGATAAATTATGCAGCAGTACGAGTGGTCCATATCATAACAGACATGGTTGTAGGTTACTTAAAAAGGAGATAAACATGGCAGTATTTTCTAATCTCTTGATATAAACGAAATATTCCCATTATCAATATTAGAAGAAGGCATATAAGCGAACGATATTGTTTTCAATTAGATCTTTTCAGGCTTTACTCTAATTTGTATAGACTTTTATATAAAAATTCTAACCAATGAATGACGGTGTTTGTTGATTAAATAATAATAATAATAATAATAATAACGTAGTAATGTGTCCACTTCACCTTTGGTATTATGTAACTTTTAAGATTTGACCTAATTTATTTATTGAATTGTCTACATATACACATATTACTACCTTCGTTATTCTTATTGCCACGTGCATAAACCTTATTATCATTATTTTGTTATCATTATAATCATCGTTAGTACTGACGTCCAAAACATTTACCAGATTATTATTATTATGGTTGTAAAGAAACTACGAAGTGATATCATCTCGCGAAATTTGTCTTCTTAATGCCTTATTATGTGGTCAAGAAACTCACCGTCATTGGCTAAAATTTTTATATAAAAGTCTGTGTAAATTAGAGTAAAGCCTGAAGAAGATCTAAATGAAAACAGTATTGTCCGCTTATATGTCTCGTTCGAATAAACGAAATAGGTCCTTAAAGGGATTTTCTGTCTATAGCACTTAATTCAAAACTCTTAGAATGAACTAATATATGGCCCCTTCCATTTAGCTTATGTAATCAAATTGAATGAGGTGTCGGTCTATAAAAAAAGAGCCAATAATTTCATTTAGTTTCTCTTTGTCGTCCAGTAACTGCCTTAACTATTCTGCGACTACTCAGCTTTTGATAGAAAATGTAATGTAATTTGTTAAGGGTGTGTTGATGCCCTAAGTATTGTGGGACCGACTACTATTTATTGTTAGAAAAGATAAATACGTGTAATCATTAGTGCCTATGACTTTTAAAAAATGTAATTAACGACATTCTGGTGAGCCACCTGTTAAAATTATCTGTCATTGTTTTAGCCAGTTAGTAAACTGTGAGCATGGTGGTTGTCCCAATCGCCAAGGTGTGTAGGTATTCAATTAGTTTTACTAGTTTTTTTCACACTAAGTCTGAAACATCCTAATAAATAACACACTACATGTGAATGGTAAATGTGGTTTATGATGTTTGTCTCAGTG